GGGGGGGGGCTATAAAAATAACAACCTCAATACTAGCGGGAGATCTCAACTATTCCCATATTGAAAGCGTACACGTCACCCTTCAAGCGTGGCCGACCTGCCTAGTGCACTCTAGGGGCCAGAGAAGACAGAAGGCCGACAGGGGTAGCTATAAGGGGACAGTAAAGGGGGGAAAGGCAGCAACGCTGCACAACGAGCACCGGGCCAAAAGACGGTTGCAGGGGGGCTGCAGAGAGTGAAAGCAGGGACAGGACAATTGTAAACACCCAACGGGCACAAAGGAGACAAAAAAGGAGCAATGTGAAAGAGAAAAGGGTGCCTATTTTGCCTAATCGACACTGAGGGGGGAGGTGAAGGGGGAGAAAGAGGCTCTAGTTTGAAATGGCCACCAGGGGTGCGGTAGGGGCACAGAGGTCGCCTCACAAAGACAGACAGCCCAGGAGCCACAAGGGATGGGCGAGGTAAACACCCTTAAAGGACTACTGGGGCAGCGGCACTGGACAGGCAAAAAAATGCAGAATCAAGTAAAGTAAAAACCTTAAATGAACCAAACAATCAGACCAGAATCTGAAAGGGAGCCGGAGGTCCATGTGCTGCTGCATGTCTGGCCGCTGCATCAGCACTCACATTACCCACAGAAACAGGAGCGGTGGCACCTGTGTGGGTTGGGCAATGGGTAATAGAGGGGGATGTGGATAGCTGAATGGCATCAAGAAGTTTGGAGATAAGGGGACCATGAGAGATAGCGCAGCCACAAGACGTAAGGAAACCTCGTTGTTTTCAAATTTGTCCTGTGGCATGACAGACGAAGAAAGCATACTTTGAGTCAGTATAAATAGCAGCAGATTGTCCGGAAGCTAAAAGGCAAGCACGAGTTAAAGGGATAAGTTTGTGACCCTTTCCAGCAAGACAATTTAACACATGCAAGGCATCTGTTTTACGCCCCATCTCAGTTTTGCTAGCAATTAACACATTATCAACATACTGAACCAACACAGAGCTGCAGAGAAGAGGGACAGAATTAAGGTCAGCTTTTAAAAACTGAGAAAGCAGAGTAGGGCTTTCACAATAACCTTGGGGAAAACGTGTCCAGGTTAATTGACGACTCTGAAAGGAAAAGGAAAAGAGAAATTGGGAATTCTTATGCACTGGAATAGAAAAGAAGGCAGAACATAAATCTATTACAGAGACCCATGTAGAAGTGGGTGGAATAGTAGCAGGGTTAGGTGTACTACTGAAAATCTAGGGATTACAAACTTATTAATGGCTCTTACCTCTTGTACAAATCTATAGATTTGCTTACCCTGGCTGTCAAATTTTTCCTCCTTTTTCACAGGTAGTATATAGGTGTATTACATGGTGAAGTTGTATAAACAAGTATCCCTTGTTCAAGGAGGGAAGAGATTACAGGCTTAATGCCCTCTTGTGCCTCCCTAGACAATGGATACTGCGGTACCCTTGGGAAAGACTTGTTGTGTTTATATGTTATTTGCACGGGTGTTGCAGAGGCTAGCAACCCCACTTCATTCGCATGGGCTGCCCACAATGTCTCTGGGACATCTGAGAGGTCCAGGAAGGATGTATGTCTGGAGGCCTCATCAGATTCCTCAGAGTAGTAATGCCATCAAATTTGGAGCCTGATAGGGGGAAAGGTCAACAAATATCCCTTCCTCTCTACAGAGAAGGTTTGCACCCAATTTACACAACAAGTCACGTCCCATAAGGTTTACAAGAGAACAGGGAGATAACAGGAAAGAATGTTCAGCTGACAAGGGTCCAAAGCGGGGTGGGGGTGCAGATGGCACATCTGGGGAATCAAGCTGTTTCTTTAGAGTAGCCAATTCTTGCTGCAGCTTTTCAATAGAATCTTTTTTGCTAGCCATAATGCTCTGATTATATTTTTTTTTACTGCCACATCCTTCCAGAGGCACCAATATTCCATCTGGTTAGGATGTTTTTCCTCGAGGAAAACTCTAAGATAAGCAAGCTTTTGTAAGTCAAAGTTCTAATTGTCATGTATTCTGGGAATTCCCCTGAGTATAGCCATTCCAAATGCTCAATAATTCCTTAAGTCTCCTTAGTTTCAAACCTGCAGGCAATACCTAGCTGACTGATCATCTGAGACAAGGGAGTCCCAGGCTGTGAGAAACCTTTTCCCTCAGTAGGAGACAGACTTGAGGGAGCAATCTTATCCATGTTAGCACTGTCTTGTCCAAGGACAGCGCAGGAGCCCAACAGTACTACCCTCTCCAAGGATAGTACAGGCGTCCAGCAACACTACCCTCTCCAAGGATAGT